TAATATAAATAAATACTTAAGTGTCATGTAAACGCAATTTGTTATTGCGGTCATATGACTTTACTAGCATTAATTCACATTATAGAGGGTGTGCGGATACTTTTGTCCACCCTCTGTATATCAGAATAATTTTTTAAAAAATTATATTTTCTGATGCTATACCATAATTTACTTTAACACATTTTATATTTTTTTAGAGTTCTATCAGTATTATCATGTATACATTCTTTAATACTATATTCTCAAAATGCTTTATTACATTATCTAAATATGTATAACTAACTCTAACAAAATCCTGATATATAATATGATAAATTAAAAGACTATTATTAAAAGAATAATTGAAATGTAAAAATTTTCTATTATTTGAGTTTACTTTTTTTATGTTTTCATCCTTCTGAAAAACTGTAAGTTATCTTTTAATAATCATATCCTACACATATTTGTCCAAACTTTCAAACTCTGCTTGACGTATAAAGAATTGTTCATAACTAATTTTTTCATAATAATTAAAACGACACAAGCAGTTTATTTTTTTAAAAACCTTTTTACTTCTAATTTCAAATTATCATAAATTTTATTTTCAACATAATTATCATAATTTTTCACAAATTCAAAGTTACTTAAATGTATTTTATCAAAATTTTCTTCAAGACTTTTGATTTCATCAAAATTGAATAAAACTTCATTATTTGACGTATTTTTTTCACTTTTAGAACTTGAATTTTTAATATTTTCAGTAAAAAGTATTATTTAATTCTATTAAAGTGGCCAAACTACTTTCATTTGTACTATTATTATCAAAATAAATACTATATTCCATATTATTTAACTAATACTATAAATAAAAATAATGAAAAAATATGAAAGTTTTTACAAAAATTGATAATAAAAAAGGTTAAAATTATGCTCTTTTTACTAATAAATTTAAATGGAAAAAAGTATATTCTGAAAGATTAGAATGATAAATATATGTTTATCATAAAATATCAAAATCACATAATTGTATTAAATCTCAGCTTTTGTTATAAGGTTTCTATATACAATGTAAAATTTCTATAATAAAAACTTAAAAAAATATTAATAAAATTTAATCTACTAATTGGATTTTAATCAAATAAAAAAAAATTGATTTATATTTGTAAAATAAATCAATTTATAAAAAATAAGTATTTTTTTCAAATTTGTAAATTATATAAATATTGTATAATATACATATAAGCTAATCAGAAACTAGAATTAAAAATCATATGAAATAATTTATTTTATTTTATTTTATTATTTTATTATAAATTGCATTAGATATATGATTATAATACTTATTTTTTAGCTAATAACTCAGCTATTTTTCTAGTAAAACTTTTCTATAAATATTCATATATTATTATGATTATTGTATAATATTTTTGAATTGTAATTAAATAAACTGAATTTAATACTTTAAGAACAATTTATTATAATTCAATTTATGTATAATTATAATATTCTTATATATTCTTTTGCTATATCTTAATACATCTTTATATAATTTAATTTATAATAATAATATTTAAGTTAATATACAAATGATAAAAGAATCATTCTTATAAATTTGTCATCCCATTTTTTTTTTTTTTAATTTTAGTTTTTATAATTAATTTTGGATAAATTTAACCTAATATAACTTTATCAATATTAAAGATATTAAAATTCTAATTCAAGATTCTTAAAGTACAAGTCATTATTTATTTATTTTATAAATTAAATTTTCAATTTTATATATAATAAAATTTATTTGTATTTTAAATTTGTTTCATTTTTATCATAGCAAAGTTCCTATTATAAAGGTTTTGTACTGTAATCACATCTTCTCTATAAGCATACTTATATTGGTCTGAGTTACTAATAAATTTAAACAAACCTTTTTTAGTCATATCATATAATATTTTTATAATTACTATTTTTTTTAGTTCTAAGAGGTATGACTATAGAGAAGATCAACTGTATAATTAATTTTATTTTTATGCTATAATTTCTATTGTTTACAGTTTATTAATTATTATGAAACATTATAAAATAGTCTATACATACAAGTATTGTAGGATTTTGAGATAAATTATAATATTCAAATAGTAATTTAATTATAATATTAATAATTATAAAGCTTTTAAAAAATTATTTGTAATATAGAATTATTTTAAAATTATAAAAATCATCAGCTTCTTATAGAGTTTCTGATACAACTATTTTTAATAAGATTTTTGAGAAAAGATGATTTATAAAAACCCAGAAAAATTGCAAAACTAGTAAAGAATAATGAGAAATTTAAAAAATATTAAAAAGTATATATATATAATTGAGATTATTTATTACATTGCTAAAGATTTGCTAAAATGTTTAAAATATTAAAAAAAAGTAGATTTTTGAACTTGTTTCTTGAAATAAAAGAAAACAAATTGATGAGTTTCTGAATGTTTTTTAATTAATAGTAATAATCAAGAAATTTCGTATTACTGAAAAAGAGCAATAAGTATATGTTCTAATTCAATTAATCAAGGAACGGGTTATGTATTTTAAAATTTATTTTTTTTTATCATAACGTAATATACGCTTGTTATATTTTATCCTAAAATCAACAAATAAGCTATACATAGATGATTTTAATATTATTGTCACGTAAGAAATTTCTTCGCTTTGATCTGATAAGTGTCGATAAATGGAAATCTTTTTTAAAATTTGGATCAATTATTTAAAATTTATAAATTCATGAATTTATAATTACCCCTTTAATTCTTAAAGGAATCGACAGTGTACTGGATTATAAACTAGTGGCACCCATTGTTTGTCAAAATAGTCATTTTTAATTGTACAACGCTTTTTTGCCTTTGAGCCTTTAACCATTTCTATTAATCCATTTGATATTCTTATACAAGGTTGTCCCAAATAGACACATATTCCAATCAAATGCAAAGTGTATTGAACATCCTTTTGATCAATACCGGTTTGATAAGCAATTTCATCAACTGAAATTTCTTCTTTAGCTTTTAATAATACTTCAGTAATCGCTTCCATCCAATATTGTTGATAAGATAATAATCCAAGATCTGATAAAGGTTTTTCGGGTGTGCCAACTTTACCTTGCATTTTGGATATTGTATATGAAAATGCTATTAGGAACCTACCGTAACCTTTCCTTTGATGTTGAGGCAATGTAAGGATACATGCGAGATTATTCTCCATATTGTATTTCTCCTTAGAAAAATATCCAATTATACAATATCCAACTTCATTATAATAGCATAATATGTAAAATAAGAATGGTAAAGTATCATAAGCGAGTAGCTTATGATCAAGAAAAAGCTTTGAAAGTAAACATAAGCTTTGGCAATATGTTGGCTGCCTTTTTCCGTTAACTTCGAACATAGCGAGATTTTCTATTTCATCTTTGTAAATTTGATTTCCCGGAGGATGAAATAAATTACATTTTTTCTTGTGACGTCTGAATTGTAATTCACTTATGTAATAACTCAAGCAAAACTCACAAATGTATACAACAGCCGCATCATTAAATTCTTCAGGATATGGTGAGAAATACCAAGGTTCAATCAGATCTTCTCCTATTTGAATTTCCTTAATATTTTTTACGCGTATTTTAACTGGTTTGAAACTCTTACCACCTGAAGTAATTCGTGTTTTATCCTGATTTATTTGTGCGGTTGAAGGTTCATCAATTTTTGGACTTGAATTATTACTATTAGATCTGATTGAAGGTGGAGGTGTTAAGTATTTTAAAGCCGGAGATCCGTCATTCATATTTGAATCATTATCACCAACATCGCCATTCACGTCTGAAGAAGGCAGCAATTGTGATGCAGGTGATTCTGGACTATAAAAGAAAATATCCTGGGAATCTTCGCTTTTTATTGGTGTTTCCAAAGCAAACGTAACAACATCATCTTGAGAATCTTCAAGTAACGTAGGCGTTTTTGCGATAGAAATCGTATCATCTTGAAGTAATTTTCTTTTCTTAGGTAATTTGATATCCACCTCCCTTTTGGTATCAATTTGATCAGATCTCACCCATTCATCAAGTCTTCTATTATGTAACGCGTAAGTAATATAATATTCGTGAATATTTTCATCATTAATTCGAACAGCAAGAACTTCGCCTACACGACAATTTGATTCATCCTCCATGTTATTGGTGACTTTCACGTAATAGTAACCGCCAATTGTGATTTCACATTCCAACGGTTCTTTATTTGAAGTTTTTGAACATGATTCATACTTTATTGAAGGGATGGGGCTAATTGTATCTCGTTTTAACCTCAATCTCATGTTATTTATGGTAGATGAATCTGCTGATCAAGAATTATTTTATTTTTATTTTTATTTTATTTGATTTTATTTTATTTGATTTTTATAAAAGGAAAAAAAAAAAAAAGTTCAAAAATTCCTTAATACTACAGTAATTTTTTTCGTTATATAACCGCGTTATTTTTTTTTTTTTTTTGAAAAAAAAAAAAAAAGGAAAGAAAGAAAAAGAAAAAGAAACTTACTAATAGTCATAAAACAACGTTTTAAATGCAATTTTTGAATGTGTGGGAATGGGAATGAATCATTATTCAAAAAAAGTAAAAAAAGTATTTAATAGTCAATCACGTGCTTTCGAGTAAATCGAACAACTTCATTAATCCGTAAGTAAATTAGCTCTATTTGTCACATGGAATATTATTCCGTGATGTGATTATAATATTTATTAATGATTCAAATAATGGCCTGGATAGATCCAAATTTTTCTGAGATCGCGAAAAATGAAACAAAGATTTTCAGCACTCGATATCCGAGCAACAGTGTCCGATTTGAGAGAAAGGTACAGTAGAACTTTTTTTTTTGATTCGTAAAAAATGTTCATTTTATTAACTCTCCTTTTTTAATTAAATTCACTATAGGCTCGTTGATCTTAGGTTACAGAATATCTACGATATAAACTCAAAAACTTATCTTCTCAAGTTTTCAAAGGTAATTGTTTATCCAATAATATTTGTTCCTCGGAGATCAAAATTTTTTTTTGAATTTAATGAATTAATTCTTTTTCACGCACCCTTACACAATTTTCTATGGAATAACTTTATAATTGACAAATTAAGCCGGATAGAAAGGAACTTTTGTTGATTGAATCTGGATTTCGAATTCATACAACACAATTTTCTCGTGATAAGTCGATAACTCCATCGGCTTTCTGTATAAAGGTATTCTTTTTTTATAGTAACAAAATGACTTTAATTTAATAAAATTTTTTGTTTCAATTGTTCTTTTTTCATACAAGTTGCGAAAACACATTAGAACAAGAAGATTGATCAATGTCAGACAACTCGGTATTGATAGAATTATTGATTTTGAATTTGCTGGTGCTTCAGAAGGCGCCTCATATCATATTATAGCTGAGTTTTACGCATCGGTAATTTATCTTATTAATTGTTTTTAATGTAAATAATATTGAATATAAGTTAACATTAGAGAATTCTTCATTTGAAATTAATGGGATGATAGGGTAATATTATTTTTACCGATCAAGACTATACCATTTTGACTTTGATACGTATCGTTCAACAAGAGCAAATGATAGTTGGTCAAAAATATAATGTTAATACCGTTGCGCGTGTTGCTGAACCAGTAACACGATCACGATTAAAGGAAGCATTAATTACTTCATCTAATAAAGAAGCCAAAGAACCATTAAGAAAGATTTTAAATACTAGGTTGAGTATGTTGATAACCTAATCTTATTAATATATATTGATTTTATATTATTCATTTTTTCTTTCTTTAATCTGAATTTATTCTTATATAGATTACGGACAGGCGCTGACTGAGCATGCGATTCGTTTTGCTCAATTGGATCCTAATATGAAAGTTGGAACAATAGACATTTCTGATGGTTGGATCTTTATTAACCCTTTTTTTATATTATCTTTTAAATTACCTTTATATTATATGTTAATGAAAAATTAAAATTTTAGATTCGGAGCATTTTATTGCATTAGAAGCAGGATTTAAAGATGCAGACCGCATTTTAGAAGAAAGTGCAAAAATTAAGCAAAAGGTAATATATTTGTATTCTTCACAGATATAATCTTTATATTAATTTATATTCTTTAATACACTATCAAGGGATATATAATCATGCTCCACCATTCGGAACGTTCTTCCACAGCAGGTGAAATTTCACAACAAGATGATGAATGGGATACGTAAGTTCTTTCTTAGACGTTTTTGAGCTAATCCTGTCATTTTATTGTTTAAATGTTTCTAATTTATTTAACTTTACATAAAGCTATGATGAGTTCCATCCCTTTCTTTTCGAACAACACAAATCTAAATTATATAAAGAATTTGATTCGTTTGACTTAGCGGTTGATGAATATTATTCTTCTATGGAAAGTCAAAAATTAATTATTAAGCAGAAAAATCAAGAAAAGGCTGCGTTCAAGAAATTGGAAGCTATCAAAAAAGAACAATATTCACGCGTCGAAAACCTTCAAAATGCTCAGTTATCAAATATTCGCAAAGCTAAATTAATTGAAAGTAATGTGGATATGGTAGATCAAGCAATTTTGGTTATAAGAAATGCAATTGCTACTTCTATAGATTGGAAAGATTTAGAAAATTTAGTACTAGAAGAAAGGAAGAAAAACAATCCTTTAGCGGAAGTAATCGTTGGATTTAAGTTGGAATCAAACCAGATCACCTTATTATTAAGGTATTTTATAGTTAGACCTATTTAAATATAAGAATGGAATTAGTTAAATATTATACTTATATTATTAACATATATATTAAAAATTTAGAGAATACGAGAAAGATGATGAGGCATTTTATGATTCTTCTGATACTGAATCCGAAAATGAAAACAACACGTCCCAACAAATAGTACAAGAAAAAGTTGATGTTGACATATATTTATCCGCATTTGCGAATGCAAGAAAGTACTATGATGTTAAAAAGCAATCTGCTTTTAAACAAGTTAAAACATTAGCTGCAGCGGATAAAGTATGATTTACGTAAAGTCTTTCTATGATTTGAATGGATTTAATTTATATACCACATATTTCTTTATTTTTTTTTTCCTTTGATAGGCCTTCAAAAGTGCCGAACAGAAAATTAAACAAGATCTTAAGGAGACGAAAATTACAGCATCTATCAACAAGATCCGTAAACCTTTTTGGTTTGAAAAGTTTTTTTGGTTTATTTCTTCGGAAAATTATCTTGTTATTGCTGGACATGACATGCAACAAAATGAGCTGATAGTTAAAAAACATCTTCGTAAAGGTAGTTAAAATATGTTGATCGTTGTTTTTATTTGTAAACTTGCAATATTTGTTTTAATTTATCACAATGCTTATAGGGGATTTGTATGTTCACGCTGATTTACATGGTGCTGCATCAGTTGTTATTAAAAACCCTAATGAGGGTCAACCAATACCCCCGAGCACACTTTTTCAAGCCGGAATCATGTCCGTTTGTCAAAGTAAAGCATGGGAGGCTAAAATAATAACAAGCGCCTTTTGGGTTAATGCAGAGCAGGTTTGTATATTATTTAAATTTTTAAATTCTATCGAATTTTTTATGAATGGTTTAATAACAAATTTATTTCAGGTTTCCAAAACCGCTCCGACAGGAGAATATCTTACAACGGGTTCTTTTATGATTCGAGGTAAAGAATTTCCTGCCCCCGGTTCAATTGGTTTACGGTTTTGGTTTCCTCTTTCGATTGGATGAACAAAGTATTGCAAACCATTTGCATGAACGTCGCCCAATAAGAAATGAAGAAGAATTGGACGATAATATTCAAGCACCAAGAGAAGTATGTGATTTATTTAAAGTGTTTTTTATTATTCATTATATAAGTGAATGATAAGTTATCAACTTATATTTAACTTACAGGAGCACGAAATCAAGGATGAGTCATTGAATGGTGACGATATAGATACGCCTGGTAAATATTTGAACATGAAAAATTTTTTATGAATCGTAGTTAATTTCTATATACTAATAATAAAAAAAAAAAAACTCAAGAAGACAGAGAAGATTTTGAATTACATTTAGAATACTTAAAAAAACCAGTAGATCAGGATAAAAATGAATTTAACGGAATTGCCACTAAACAAGAGGAAAATCAAGAATCGCAACATCAGCAACAACAACTAGGTCTAGATGAGTCTATTGATGACACATTGCCCGCTAAAAATGTTCATTCTATTGATATTTCGAAATGGGACAAATATAATTTGGATGATTATGGCGTAGATCAAGATGATGCAGTTCAAGGGAGTGAAAAGCCAGTACATATTTAAAAAAATTTTTTTTTTTAGTTTGTCTTTAGGTTGTCGCTTGTTGATGATTTTAATTGAATCCTTATATGCTTCGTAGGCCACTAAAAAGAAATATATATCAGCTAAAGAAAGAAAGACTTTGAAAAAGCAAAGACAAGTTAGCATAGGAGATACCATTTCTGGAGGAATGGATAGTAACCAACAAATTAATAAGAAAAAAGATTCAAACGCTGCGGGTCAAGAAAAGGTATTTATTTTATTAATATTTGAAACAAATAAATTATTTGGGGCATATGTATTTTGTTTATATTAATCGTAACTTATATTTGATATAGCGGACAAAACAATCATCTCAGTTACCTCGCGGTAAAAAAGGCAAAATGAAAAAATTGAAAGATAAATATGCAGATCAAGACGAAGAAGAAAGAACACTTCGTATGGAATTGCTTGGTGTAAGTGTATTAAAATTGTTTAATTAAATTGAAAATTTTGATTCTTTGTATTCGATAAAATATACATAATTATGTAGTCAAATAAAGCTCCAAAAAATAAAGGAAAGAAAGGCAAAAAAGAACCTATAAACTCAAATGCATCAAAACCAAATAAGATAAACAATATCACTGATGGAGAACAAAATATATCAACACCTTTCCGTATTGAGGGCCAAGATATATCTTCACATAATCCAGAAACCGATCAAGATTTTAATGAGCAGCAATTAGTAAGTTTTAAAATAATTTGTTTGTTGCGCAAACTGCATACACTTGAGATTTATTTAAGTTATTTTTTTATTATTTAAGGTTTCAAATATAAAGAATGAAGAAGAAGAAATTCGACAACTTCTTAAGGAAGAAAACATTACTTTATTGGAAACAGGGACTTTGGTAATGTTATAATTATATAGATAATTATTTAATTGTTATTATTAATTCAAATTTTTATTTATAGGAAAGTTTGACAGTGTTGGATACATTGACAGGATTACCGCTGCCCGAAGATAATCTACTTTTCGCTGTCCCAGTTTGTGCACCATATATCTCTTTACAAAAGTATAAATACAAGGTCAAATTAACTCCTGGATCAACGAAGAAAGGAAAAGGTATGCATAATTCAATCGTGCTAATCTAATTTGTATATTGTTAATTCTGACCTACCCTTCCTTTTTTTAGCATGTAAGACAGCTACATCGTTCTTTTTAAGCGATCCACAGTTGACACCACGAGAGAAAGAACTTATTAAAAGCGTGCCTGACACAGAAATGATATCAGTGATGTTGGGTAAATGTAAAGTTTCAGCACCAAATATTGAACAAGCTAAAAAATTTGCAAAGAAAGCTGCAAAAATAGCATCAAAAGAAGCAGCAGCTAGTCGAATAAAATCAAACGTCTAGGTAATTTCGATTAAAATGTATATAAATTTATTTAACAAACAACGATGTTTATTTAAAAATTGAAGAAACAAAAAAAAAAAAAAAATGATATTTATATAAATTTTGCAAGGTTTATTAATTTAACAGGTTATTATAATAATAATTCCTTAATTAATAGTGGGATTTCTAAAAAAAAATTCATATTTAGCATATAAAGTAAAGTTTAGGTTCTTTTAAAATTTTTTTTTTTTTTTTTTTGTTATAAAATATTACAAATATTGATATTCAAAAAAAAAAATTTGTAAAGAATAAAATAAATATTTTATTTATTAAATAATAAATAATTATTTATATAATGTATCTAATAGAAAAAAAAGAATTTTTATAATTATTAATAAAAATTACTATTAAAATTTAATGAATTAATTTTAAAAAATACAATAATTACTTAACTATTTTATTATATAGGATCTTTATAACAGAAAGCAAAAAAAAAAAATCAATTTTATACTTAAATATGATTTTTAGATCAAAATATATTCGGATTTAATATTAACTAATTTTAATTTTTTTCAATCTTTTTTTTTCTATTATAAGATAAAAATTTATTTTTTATACAGTATAATTCTAATAATAAGTATCTATCGAAAATAAACATCCCGCATTTATATATCCTTTAAAAATAAGCACCTGCAAATATTATAATAGTTTTATTAAATTTTTATACACAATATTATTATATTTACAAATAAAAGAATAAAAAAAACCTTAGCTACTCAATAATATCAATAATATTATTATTGCTATTACCAACATTTAAATCATCTAATGAATTCGATATATAACAAGTTTTAAAAGAATCAATAATTAATTCATTAGAAATTTACTCTCATGATCGTTTTACCTATCTGTATATATCACCAAGCTTAGCTTATCAAAGATTACCTCCAGCTGTTTGACCAGCATCACTATCAGCCATTTATAAATGCCACACTTTTCTGACACATACTGATTAAGCCACTGAGAATGACAGTCAAGTTATAACCATCTTCTTTAAACTTTTCCTTAACCGATTTCTCTAAGTAGTCTCTAAAAGAATCATATACCATTAAACTTTAACACTTCAGATTTATTATTCTTCTCATTATTAAGATAATCAATATACTACATCATTAATTCAGAATCTATCCAACCATTTTCTTGAAACTAAATAAATATACTAGAAGGAATGTATTCTCTTTTTGCTAATCATTTTTCTTTAAATATGCAAATTGAAGAATATTTTATTTTAACTATTAGTATTAAAAATAAGTTTTTTAATATTTACTATTCATTTTACTAAATTTAATAAAAATAATCTACTCTTACCTGCAGAGCATATTAATATAATGATAAATCAGTTTTTTTTTATTACTTATTGCATAAATATAAATAGTTTTCTCATACTTTTATTCAATAGTGAAGTTTTTGATTATATTAAACTAAACAGGAGTTTCATTTATGTTGAGAATGTTATGCAACTCAAAGGATTTTTTAATTCTAAAATGAATAACAAATTGATGAAACCCTTTTAATGCTTCTTCAGTTTATGCAGGAAGTTTTTGTAAAACTCTTGTACATCTCTGTTTAGCCAATTTGTATCTTTTTAAAAATAAAGATATCTAATTATCAGATGTTTTGAAATTATCTGCTGTTATTGATATTAGTATATTTAGTAATACTGTTATTGCTGCTGCTATTACCAGTGTTATTATTGATTTTACATTATCTTTTTTTAAAATCTCTAGCATTTTAACTTTTATAATTACATAAGTTACTATTAACCTTTGTTTTCTTTACTAAATTATCCACTTATACAATTTTCTTTAGCTTTAGGATAAAAAGGTTTTCAACCTGAACTAACCTTTTTAATATCTTAGTCTACTTCAGTTTAATTTGAGCTTGCTTTTACCTATTTTCCAACTATATTAGCATCAAGTTAAAAATGACTTGCTGCTTTATTTCTTTTCACTTGTTTTGCATAATTAACAACTTCTTTTTTTGTTTTAATAGAATAGAAATTACGCTTAAATTTTACTTTTGGCATTTTACAAAAAAATGAATTTAAAACAGGTTTGTATGCAGTATACACAAAATATGCAATATGCATAGTATGCACGCGTATCATCATTTTGTCTCATAAGATCATCATATAAATCAGATGATCATTTCAATTATTAATTATCACATCTTTAAATATTGTATTTAAAAATCTCTCAAAAATAAGTACCTTTATAATAAAAAAAGAATGCTTATTATTAGAAGTATACGGTAATTAAAATTTATATATTTAAAATTCTTATTCAGTTGAATTAATTAGTTAAATTTTATATAAATATATTTTATTTTTATTAGGTATTAATTTTTATATAATTAAAATAATAAAAAAATTAATAATTTATATTAAAATTATATTAAATAACTTAAATTTTTATTAAAAAATTAATTAACAAATATATATATATATATATATATATATATTTGATGAATATTGTAAAATTTTTATTAATTTATAAAGTTTTACATAATCCAAGCTACTTATAAGTCAAACGAACTTATCTAGATATAACTCAAGTTACTATAAGTCAAATAAGCTAACTTATATTATGATTTAGCTTATAATATAATTCAATTCATTAGCTTGCATTTTTTTTTAATCTAAAAGCTTTTTTATAAAGAAAAGCTTTCTTATAGTATTTTCTTAAAAAAATAGCACTAGTAATGTTTTCTTTGAAAAAAAAATGCATTCTGTAATATTTTTTTGAGAAATATATCTAATAATATTTACTTAATAATAATATACTTAGTAGCAATTTTTTTTTTAAAAAAAAAATACATTTGTTTTAAGAAAAATGTGCTAAATAAAATTGTTTTATAATATATAAATTATAAATTTTTATTTATTTATTTTTATTAAAAAATATATTTTTATTTAATATTTATTAATTTTAACTTTATTGTTAATTAACATCATAGATAATAATTATTTATATTGAAAATTTGTTAGAAAAATCACTGCGAGAATTTTTTAAACTAAAATTAAAACTTTATTATATTTAGTTAAATAATATCAAAAAATTAAAATACAATAAAAATCAAAATTTTTGTTAAAAAATTTCTTAAAGTCTGATTTTTCTAGAAAACTTTCTATATAGTAAATAAAATATAATAAATAGTATTTTATTTACAAAAAATAAATTTCTAAAATTTATAGTAAAATAGAGAATCTATAAAAATAAAATTTCAACATTTTAGCTTTTTAATTATTAAAAACTAAATAATTTTAGTTTTGTAAAATTATTAAATATTTTAGTTTTGCTTAGTATCATTACATTTAGTATCAAATTTTTTAAAAGAATTCACTTTTAGAATAATTTTCTTAAAGAATTTTACTTTTAGATCATTTCTTTAAAGAATTTTATTTCTAGAGTGATTTTTTTTAAGAATTTCACTTTTAAATCATTTTCTATTTTCAGAATAATTTCTTTAAAGAACTTTACTTTCAGATTAATTTTCTTAAAGAATTTTATTTTCAAAATTATTTCTTTAAAGAATTTCATTTTCAAAGTGATTTTCTTATAGAATTTCACTTTTGAAGTAAATTTTACATAGAATTTCATTTTCAAAATGCTTTAAAAAAATGTAAGCTAAATGAGCTAATTTATAAGTTAATTTAGTTTAATTTAGATTATGATTAATCATTCTGAGTTTAGCTAAGTTAAAATAAAATAGTATAACTTAATTTATATAAAATATAAAGATAAATAAAATTTAAAATACTTTAATTTATTAATATTAACCTTATATTATTTTGATTAAACAGAATTTATATTAAATAATTATACTTGAAGATATATTATATTATAATATTTTAAAATAAGAGAGAATAAATTAAGGTAATATATAAAAGAAGAAAAAAAATTAGTAAACTATTAAAAAGCTATATCTTTCTAAAAATATTATTATTTTATTTTTAATATTTGAAAATGCTATATAGTTAAATCTAAAATTAGAACTTTAAATTAGTTAGATTAGATTAAGTAAATAAATTATTTAATCTAAGAATTAAATCAGATCAAATAAAATTTGACCTAACTTAAATTTTTATTTGAATTAACTTAAATGAATTATTTTAATTGAATAATTTATTATCAAATAATTTATTATCTTTTTATTTAAATAATTCATTTTATTTAAAAAATGATTATTTAAGAAAAATGATTCATTATCATTCTAATTAAATAATTTATTTATTATTTTAATTAAACAATACATTGTCATTCAAAAAAAGTGATTAATTTACCTAAATTTTGTTAGATCAGATCAAATAAGATAATAAATTAATCTGAATTGATAAAATATACTATTTTGATCTAATCTAATTAAGTCTAATTAGGTATAATGCTCTGAATGATTCAGTTCAGTCTAGATTATAGACTAATCTGAAATTGAACTGAAAATTTCAATTCAGTTCAGTTCAGATTATTAATCTTAAAAATGTTAATCTTAAACTGAACTGAATCATAAACTGATAAATATCTAAACAAAACTGAAAATTTTAGATTAATCTAAATTTCAAATGGTTTATTTCAAACAAATAATAAGAAAATCGTTTATTTAGAATAATAATATTTAGACAAATGATAATTTAATTATTCTAAAAAAACAATTTTTTTATCATTCGTTTAGAACGATAATTTCAATTATTTTAGATGAATAATTTTTTATCATTCATTTGAAATGATAATTTAATTATTCTAAAAAATGATTTTTTATTATTCATTTAGAATGATAATTTAATCGTTAAAATTGAACTATTTTTTATCATTTGTCTAAAACGATTGATATTATTATTTTAAATTAACAATTTTCTTATCATTCATTTAAAATGAATCATCTGAAATTTTAGATTAATCTAAAATTTTTAGTTTATTCATATTTTTTTAGTTCAGATTAGATTTATAATCTAAAAAAATCTGAAC